CTATTGTACCATATTGGTTTAGTTTTCTGGCCTTTATACACTATTGTTGCAATGAAATGTAGGAACATTAATTATTATTACGGTTATTCTATGCTTCTTGTAAAACAACCATTTTGTTTTAGCTCACACTTGCTAGGCTAGTATTCAAAATGGCAATTTCGTAATCAAATGTAATATTTACATGATCCTTTTTCTTACCATTAGTTCATTTTGTGGTGTTCCATTTGATTGATCGATTGCTTCAAAGAGTCTAACCTCATGCGAACCATTCTCAGCTATCTCTTTACCTTCTTCAGTGAGTTCCCACGATTCAGTCTGTTTCTGCTCTGTCTTTATAACTGACCTAAAAGGGAGACAAAAACTCCACACTATGTGCAAATCAAGTGCTAAGCCTACGTCTCCAAAGGACTCCAAACTCTTTACGGCTCCAACCACGTCTTGGTGATTTCTACCAACACTAGTAGCATATTCATAGGAATCTACTCGACCCTTTTCTGCCAGAGCTTCCAGGAGAGCATCGGGTAAAGACTCAGTCTGAGATGCCATCTTGATCAACAGGGAACTGAGGGAAGCCAACCATGGCATTGATGGCAACCACGTGTCTAAAGGCGGGGCCGTTCATTAATTATTAGATCTAATAATTGTTAGGCCTATCTGTAGCTAAAACATTATTTTGTTGTTTGTAGACACACATTCAATAAAGTATGTTAATAATTCAATGAAGTATGTTTATAATTCAATTAAATCCCAGTAGCTTCATAGTCTTTGTTGTTATGCTGTCTAAAATCTGGGGGAATGATCCCATGTCATTGTCTGCAGCTGAGGCTAATATCACTTCATCATCAAAAGTCACCTTAAGAAATGGTCCAGCCACTTCTGTCTGCCCATAATAACCATTCACAACATGTGAACCTTGCTCAATACTGATTGCTCTTATGCTGGACAATGGTTGACAAAACTGGCTCCATGACATACAACAATCTCTCTTCCCATCAAAAGCAACCTCATAATAAAGATTCTCTCCATCTGTGTACAACAGGCCTGGAGCATCAATTCTACTTGTTGTACGTGGACCCTTTACTGCCATGAATCTACTGACTTTGAGATGAGCAGTGATGGTAGGATCATCTAATATTAGAGCCTGAGAGCAACAGCAGCAACCCATGACTTGAGGATTGGAGCAGATGTTTATGCATTAAATTTAAGTATATACCGGTAGATTATCTACTGCTGAGAGTCAATGAACAGAGTGGTCTTATTTTATTGAAGGTGTGGTTTATGATGGAAGACCATTGGAATGATGCAGATTATGCTTACACATTATAAATTTATTGCATGCCTAGCTTCTTTAGCAGGTATAAATCTACTAGAACCGAGGCTGAGCCCAAAACTATTAATGATTATTATAGCCATTACATGCCATTAGGAAGAGCTTCCGCCCAAGCTCAGGGTGCAATTCAAGCAATCTTATAGTGTCAGTGTTAGCACCACTAAATTTGCTCAGAAGTCAGAACCATGCACTATAGATCTATTATAGACTGTAATTTAGTAGTAGAGCTACATATAGTAGCTGATGTATAACTACTCTGAGCGTCGTTCAATAGAAAGCATGTAACAATGATTGTACTTTAGCTATCATTATAATTATCATTACTATATATTCTCTCTACGATTAGTATATATACAGAAGTTGCAACGAAACCAACAAGAGTGAGAGTAGATATGTGACACACTGCATGGTTATGAATTGGTATTTCTCTGATTGTCAACACATTCCTTTGTAGCTTGATATATCATTGCTCCTCTATAATCAATCTTTGCATAGTTGTTATAATTTTCTGGGCAACACATGAGTAGGTCTGTAGAGGAAGTTTTGCTATGTACAAAATTTTCAAATTCCTCAGTTGTGGTTACGGCTCAGGTTTATGTGGTAGCTATTCAGTATTGCTTGTATATACTGGTTCTTGGAGGCTGTGTTGTGATCTCTCTTGCTAGAGGAGTAGAAATCCAGAGACTGTTGTCCAGCTAGTGACTATCATTTTTATTTTGTCATTCCACTGGATTTTATACAGTATAGTCTAAAGGTAAATTAGATGATGGAGTGCTGTATTGATCACTTTATTTACTGTCATTTCTTTCATGTAACATGCTTCATTGATTCTAAGTACCTACATAGATCTAGTCTCGCCCAGGTGAGACTATACTACCTACACTGCATGAGCAGAGGGAGAGTGGGCCTGGAGTTAGGTAGATCTATTAGTACTGTAAAATGACCAAATTTAGTCAAAATTTGGTCAGTAGTGACAATACTAGCTAACTATATAAACTATAACTAACTTATAAGTTATAACTAACTATGTTTACTAACTTTATAGTAAAGGAGTAGTGCCAATCAGTCACTACATGTATAATAATACAGGCACCTCTCATAGCATTATGTCAATAATACGTGAATATAATTTAATAATAGTTCATGGTATGCATACACTCACTTCTATTGTACTCTATTATACCATAGTCACTAATAAAGGAACTGCTTGACTTGCATAACAATAACAAAACTAATAATTATTACAAGATGATTGATGTCTCTCAATGGAGAGCAAGTATTGGATTGTGGAACTACTGTCAAGCTGCCTCCAGAAGAAAAGCTAATGGCCACCATTCTCACTCATTCAAAGCTGCAGTAGACAGCAGTACTACATCAGAAGAGAAGACATCTAAACTGGCAGCAGCTCTATTTCTTATTGTTTCTCTCCTCTTATTTTACTCTCTCTTTTTATTTAAACATATATTGATGATTCCTCCAAAAGGTAAAACAACTGCAACTTTATACTTGTATATTTACTGGTATTTTATTATCAGACAACTGCTACCAAGTACAATGCACTACTGGTGTTACTGCTACTGGTACAAATTACCTCCAGTTAGTAGTCTTACCTGGAGGCAGGATTTCTAACCTGATTTACAATGATCTCTATTTGATTGTTTGTCTATGTATGCTCCTCCTTGTATCAGGAGATGTTGAACTCAACCCTGGTCCTATAACAGGTAAACATACACTTAATATAACACTTATTAACTGATACACTGCTGCAGGTACCCCAAAAGATATATTAAGGACTCACTCTGTTAAACTCACTGATGCTATTACTACTAACCTTTACAGAGTAACGGATGCATTGTATGCTGAAGGACTGATACCACTGGATACTAAAGAGAATATACAAGCAGTAACAGGAATATCTGATTATAGGAAATCAAGTCAATTAGTGTCCGTGATACAACGACAGTTGGAGTCCTCTCTTAATCCAGAGCAGTATTTTATTGATATATGTCATGCATTAATAAACCAACAACATTGTACACTAACAGATATTGCTACCAATATATTACACCAGTTAGGTGAGTATACCACAGTGTGTCTGCCTTATTAGATCTCAATACATTATAATAATTAGGTCAGTCTATGCCTGATGTCACATCCATTAGTTCAATACCTGATGACGTTCAAGGATATGCTGACAATATGAGACAACACTACAAACACCAACCTATTGTTGCTACAGATTGGCCACCAAGAATTGGAAAAGATTTCTTTGGAAGACTAGCACTAGTAGAAAAACAAAACTCCAGCACACAAGCAGAATCAGCTTGGCATCTGCTAAGAGGACAAGTTGATAAAACAGTTAAACTAACTGAAAACAAAGAGATAAGTGTTGAAGATGTCCTCCAAACCACAGATAGTTCTCATTCTCTCAGAGTAGTAATAGACGGCCCTCCTGGTATTGGCAAGACAACACTCTGTCGTAAACTTTTAAATATGTGGTCTAATGGAACAATTGTACACCAACAGTATGACTTGGTACTTTACTGCCCTTTAAGGAATAGCAAGATTGCTACAGCTACTACACTAGCTGACCTGTTTGTGCGTCAGCTTAATAGATATAAAAATGTACCTAAATGGTTTGAGGAGAGGGATGGAGAAGGATTACTGATAATCTTTGATGGTTGGGATGAACTAAGTGAACAACTCAGACAGTCTTCATTAGCTGCTAGTATCATTTGTAAAGAGAAGTTAGACCAATGTTCAGTAATTGTTACTTCCCGTAGTTATGCCTCCTCTTCACTTTTAGAGATTATGTCTAATCGACATGTTCAAGTCATTGGATTTTCTAAGGAAGAAATATCAACAGTAATTATACAAACACTTCAAAAAGATACAAAACTAGCCCAAGAACTCATTGATAAAAAAAGAGAAGATTATATAGATGATGAACTTTTCACAACTACTCAAAGTAGTAAGGACTCACAACTAGCAGTGAAACTCATTAATGATCTTGAAGTACGAAATGATGTCCAATCATTGTGTTATGTACCACTAGTCTGTTCCATTGTCATCTTAGTTTATTGTAAGGAAGGAGGACACTTACCAACAACGCTCACTCAACTGTATGAGAACTTTATCCTACAAACTATCAGAAGACATGTTAAAAGACACGACATTAGCCCACATACTTTAGGTAGTCTTTCTTCATTACCATCACAATTAGCTAAAGCTTTAAAAGATATGTGTCAAATAGCTTATACTAACCTGGTTGATACAAAAATGACATTCTCTTCGCATCAACTACAGTCACTGAGTGAGGCAGTCAAGGAAGACTATCTTGGATTGATAACCACATTCATAGAATATGATGAGGAGAAGTATCAGTTCCTACACTTGAGTATACAGGAATTTCTAGCTGCATGGTGGATAGCTAAGCATGAAGAGAAGACAGAGGAAGTGTTTAAGGATCACTTTGATGATGATCACTTTCGAATGTGTCTGAGGTTTGTGGCAGGTCTAACTCACCTTGAACATGAGAGCTATCAGCAGTATTTTAATATACAACAACTTGGCTTACAGAGTAAAAAG